TTTTTGTCCGTCGGGAAAGGAGAGGAATTTTGGGGGAGTTATCTCTGTGAATAGCGTTATCAGAAGGGGTAAAGTTGAAGAAAACTCGTTTAATTGCAAAGTGTCACCTTGGACTGATGTTGTAATTAATTGTATTTTGCACTTTTTACCCATGCCATTACTTGCCTGCAAATTAGGGCTTTTTTTAAGGATTTACATTTTCCTCGTGTAGTTTGGATTGTATCCATGCTAACATCGGAAGGTAAAACGGTATAAAGTTGCTTTGATTTTTAAACTGCAACCAGAAATGAAAACGATGTAAATAACTAAACCAGCAAAGGAAAGCAACTCCGGGACAACAAAAAATATGTAAATTTCATCTTCACAACATGCTAACAATGATCATCATTTTATGCCTAACCTATCATCCCTATAACTACACACATAAGCAAACCCATTATTATAAGCCCAACTAATTCAGAGGTAGAATAAGAACCGTTGATGTTAGATAATCACATAGATAGTTGGAATAAGGTTGATCAGAGGCCGCTAACTTTTCTGAATATCTGGTTTTTTAGTAGAGCTATTCTTCTCTGCACGTTCAACAACTCGTAAGAGGGCGGGGTCTGGTCCCCCGTTGTTCCTCCGACGATCAAGTTAGCTAGTTACTTGAGTGAGAAAGTGGCGAACTATAGCAGTTCTTAAATGTGGTGGAATAGAGAAAATTGCTTACCTTTATGTTGGGAATAGTTTCCCCTTGTATGGCAATGAAGGAAGGGCGTTTTCGTCTCTTCGTCCAAGTTAGAGCTGGCGGCTGAGGAGCTTCAGCATTACAGGTGTCGGCCGCGGAGTGGGCGTGGTCACTTCGGCATTTAATGAGATGGAATAGGCAGCGTGCAAAACCGGCGTGGTCCGATGTGTTATAAATAGTGTTGGGGTTGGAGAAATGATGGTGCATGTCACACATTTAATGTGATGTCGATGTGCTGTCAGCGAAGGGCTTGAGGTCATAGTCGCCTTTTGTCTCGTATGAAGATGTGTCGAGAGGTGCCGCCTTTCGAGTCGGCTTTCGTGAGATGTCGGCCCGATAATTAGTCGAGTAGGCTTGCGGTGAGTCATCTTCGATGAGAGGATCGACAAGTAACGCCTTTCGAATTGACTCTGACGAGATGTCAACTCGGCGAGTCGACTGAATCGAGACTTTGGCTATCCCAAGCATCGCGTTGGCCGAATTAGGCGTAATGACGAATTCTAATATTGGCGATTTAAAACACCATAACAAGAAGGTAAAACGATATAAAATTTTCCCTCTTTCGATCTCACTTTATCTGATTACCGATATCAGGTTATTTGTTTACAATTCTAAAATAATTAAAAAAACACTTAAATTAGTAAATTCCTTCATGTTTTTTTATGGCCAAGCATTTTTTTTAAGTAGTACAACTTTGTACTTTTATTTGAGAGAATTGATATGCATAATTTTTTCCCTTATTTTGTTATTAAAGTTTGAAGATTCACTTCATTAGTCTCATCTCTTTTCAAATCCATCTCTTTGGTAAAGTACCTAATAGGGAAAAAAAAAACTAAGAAAATGAGAAGGGGGGAAGAAATATGAAAGAATATGGAAAATGAGAGACATAGAGTTGTGCTTGATTCTTTTTCTCGGTGATTTTAACCAATGCTAATCGCACACAAGTGATATAGGAACCACCATCGTGAGTGATCCGGGCGATTAGGAGATTCCAATATGACTCTACGATCTTGGTTTATTAGAAAAAAGTCACATAGGGATCTACACGAGAATATTCCGATGTTTGAGCATCAGAGTGTAATAACGTGCAAATTTTCAAAACTTTAGGATACATAAGTGCAAGAGAAAAAAAGATATGGAACATAACTGCAAAAGTACATAAACATGAATATATAAATAGGGGGTTCCCTGAACTTTTCCTTTAAATGCTTGGGGCTTTCCGTAATTTATCAGCCGGTCGGGGAAACTATCTTATGGCAAAACCAAAAAGCCCTGGCGTCTCATCATTAAACCCATCGGACTCTGATCAGAAAATCCTTCACAAAATTTCTGCTACTATTTTTGTTTCTCCTGCGACCACTTCAAAGGGGAACGAAGTAAGTCCCCTCTTTTCTCAGAGTTTCTCCAAATTAATGCCTAATTATTTGTTAAAGAGAGTGCCCTTTTTGATTGCCAAACTCATGGATTTTTATCTCATTAATTAAAGTCCTAATTGCTGATATTGAAAGAGCCCGCGAGATTAGGGTTAGCTGTTGACTTGGCAAATTTAGGGTTTAGTTGTCGGATTGGGGAAATTACTTACTTGCATCTCTCTGAAATTTATAGAATTTGATAATTTTTTAACACTTTTGAAATCATTGGTACTGTAAACAATTTGTAACTTGTTACTTCTTGAAAAATTGCTAAAAAAATTTTTATGAAGGCCGTGCTAATTGTGCAACAGCATCTAATGTAGGTTCTCTATTTGTTTATTTGTTTGCAGTTTTAGCATAGAGGAGAAGACGAGTCGGAGATCTGTACAATTTTTCTCTAAATAGCTATCTGCCACTAGGTTCTTATTAGTCGCAGGGTTATTTTTGTATCGGATATCTTTATAAGTTTTCTTATTTTCGAGGGCTCATGGAAAAGTTTCGACAACATCCATTACCTCCTGGTGTTAATCCGGTACCGAATACATCTTCGGGTTCTACTCATCTGTATCCACCACCTATGTCATATATCCCTTATCCTATGAACACTCAACATGCTGGTCAACCTCATTATTCTGGAAATGTTTTCCCTGTCAATCAGCCTAATGCGTCTTTACCTCCTGCGCACGGCTTCAATCCTCATTTCCAACAATCTAGTCACTTTGTTCCTCCTCCTGGAAACTTTGCTCTGCAATTTCAGCCTGCCAATCCATGCCAACCAGTCGTACCTCATTCATCGTGTTCTTTTAGTTCTCCAAATGGTAGTGGTCAGTCTCCTTTTGAATCCAACAGTCACATACTGTCACAGACGACACCTCAGAGCCACACAACCCCTAGTGTCTCTATTACAGATCAGTGTCACCCACAATTGACCGAGTCAAGTAAACAAACCCCTGATGCAGATATTGTTAATCAACCAGAAAACCAAAGTCCTACCGAGATGTCGAAAACATCTAACTATGAGAAGGTGGGTTCAATCCAGTCAAGTGGAGAATCCATGGATCAGCATTCTGGGGAGCGTGTGAAGCAAGAAGGGAATTTAACTGGTATGATAGATTTGTACAGTAGGTTATGAGACCAACACAACTCAAATCTCATCCTCATTTTTTCGCTTGCAGATGCTTGCCGCTCGGGGCTGACTTGCAAAGAAGCTGTTGCAATTGACTCTGCTGCCCAAGAGGCTGTGCTACGCGAGCAAGTATGGTTTTCCCGACAATTTTAGATAACTCTTTACTTTATGCTTGCTCCTCCTATTGAATTTTTAATTTACTAATCTTTCTACTGTAATCAGGAAATTGCTACACAGCAAATCATACAAAACCAAAGGTAGGTTCTTTATGTTATGCTTCTTTTCACATATGTTCTGGAATCTGGTCAATAAACACCTGGATATTTTTTGTGTTCTGGTCAATGAACTCCCAAATAATTTCTCACCTCCTAATAATTTACATTTTTGTCACCAGACAAGCAAAAGACCTCACTGGACATATAGAGGATGGTAAAGACATTCTTGCTGGGCGTTATGATCCCAATGCCTTGAAGGTGAGTGGTTTGCATATTTCTTATCCCTTTATTCTTTTCTAACATGAAAATGCATTCCTTGTTGCTGGTTATGATAATTGAAACATGAATATCATATGCATACTTAATACTGGTTGCAGGAGCATCTCCTAAAAATGACCACTGACCATCGTGCTGAGATGGCGAGCAGGCGTGGGAAGTTGATCGACCGAGATAATGGTATATTGCTGTTGCACACATGTTTTTGCTAAAACTTTATCTATTCGGTAACAATTTATGAATTCTTGTACTGGGCCTTATATAATTTTGATTCAGTTAATAAAAAAAATGAACAATATATGTTAATGTTTTATTCTCTAAGTTCATTCCTCTGTTGACTGTGCTAATAGCAAACTCTACGGATGGTCTTTATAACATTTAGGATAATGTGTATCATAGAGTTTGTCACTTATCTTTCATTACAGTTCAAACATAACTCTGACATATAAGTTAATTCCAAATGTCAACTTGTTTCCTTTGATAGGATTTTATCACAATTTCTGTAAAATAGTAGTTACAAAATAGTACAGTATTAAACCTTTTCTTAATTTCTTATACAATAATTGACACTTCTTTCATACTAAAATGGTCTAATATGCCCCCAGTTTCTTTTTCTTTTTTCTTTTTTTCTTTTTTTTTTGCTTTGAATTATCATTCATAAGTGAGAGAAGCTATGATTGTAAGAATGATAGCCATGTTTTCATGGGTTGACCAGCTCCACTCTTTTTTATGATTTCAGGTAATGTGGAAATTGGTAATGGCTATGGTGTGCCAGGTGGCGGTGCTTATCAGTCTGCAAGGCCCACAAGTATACAGTCCACTGTGATCTTATTGTCTTTATACTCCAAAAGTGCTTCTAAGTCGCTGTGCTAGAAGCTGATAAACTAATATTTACTCCGCCGCAGAAAAATCTAAAGATGAATCTTTTGAAGCGAGCCCCTTACTTGAGAAGGAGTCAGAACAAAAGTGTTCTCGCAAGGAGTTGCCTGAATATCTGAAAAAAAGACTAAAAGCAAGAGGTATTCTTAAAGAAAACGAGATAGAAAATGGATCTACAGCAGCAGAGTATGTAAGTTCCATCTGTATTCCATATTATTCTCAGGCATTTGTATCTGTTCAGAGAAATTGCTTTTCTTGCCTTTGTGGAACATAATTTATCACCTCATACTATTTATCTATTGTGACCAATGTCATAAAGTTTATCTGCATTCCAGAAATCTGAAGATCCACCTGGCCAAACTGCTACTGCCATTCAGTTGCCTCCTGATTGGGTCAGTATATATCTTCTACCATAACTTGCTTGTCGTTGTAAAATTAATTTCCAGATGCAGTCTCCCTGTTTGATTAACTATTTCTTTGCTTTTAATAAGCCCTTGGAAGTCGGATTCTTTAAACATTTTAAGGTAGCCTGGATTTTTGTACACACAACAATATGCGAGTAATACTGGTCTTTATGAATTTCACTTAGTCTTCTAACCTTAAATATATCCATTAGTATGACAAGGCTCAGTCTTAAGTCATTCTTGCGTGTTTTACCACTAAATTCAAGACCCTTTACATTGTCATCTTAGTCTGTTTGTGGTGATAACAATCCCCAATGTTCTTAAGGAGGAAATTTTATGGAGAATAATGATAAATTATGCTGTCATCTTTCATGCCAGGAGCCTAGTAATGATACATTTCCATTTCAGAGAGGCAGGTGTAAGCAGTAGATCCTGCAAAAAGCATCAGAGTGTACTTAGCTGTACCATATGTTCATCCTATATAAGCTTATTTTTATTGGGATTGGGAAATTGGACATGGTCTGAGATTGGATTGGGTTAAATAAATTTTGCAGTTTTCTCCCCGGCTCTTGATATTTACATAATCTTTTGGTTAAATAGTGCTATATTGATCTGTTATGATATGCTGCTAAGTTGCCAAACATACAAAATACATAAACGTTCTATTGTTCTCCACATTAAGATGGTACTCATTCGTTTCTTTCTGTGCCTCGGAGAAAAAAGGAGAAACAATGGCACTTTTGTTATGGCGTAGTTGCTTATTTTATAGAGATTCCTGAATGTTTATGCTCTTAAGGTTTTCTACGATTATGAAAAGATTTATAGTTCCACATCATCTTGGGAATAATTGGCTAAGCTCAATGTATGTGTTGCTTTTGCATGATGATGAGGAGTCATAGCCATAATTTTCCCATCCCATCATCATGATCTAATCGAAGTTGAAGCCAAGAAATTTCTACATATTATCCCCTGAGTTCGTGCACAGTTCTTAGTCAAAGACAGGACGTACAGGAGGTCATAAAATTATTGGAGGCTACTTGGCACGTAGGTAAAGCAACATTGTCATGCAATTATGCTTATGCAACTCAGAAACAACTCTATAAATTCGATTGTTGGAGTGTAAGATTCTCATATGAAGTTGTATTCACCGTCTCTAGTGCAAGAAATAAGCGAAAAGACTGGAATCTGATTCCAAATTCCATTAGGTGCTAACTCATGGAGAAAAATATATATTGAGAATTTGTGCCTTTTCATTGTAGTTATTTTTGCCATATATATGAGTATTAGTCACTTGTATGTGTGTGTGTGTATATATACACCGAGTTCTGAATTAGATGCTCTAATAAGTACTTAACTCACCAGCTCAAACTGCAGACACCCACAGAGTGTAACTATATATGGTTACAAGAAGATATATAACAATAGGCCCTATGGATGAAGTAGATTTGCTTATACAATATCGTAGTAACTATAGTGGAAGTGTTTTATTTTCAAATTTGTTGTTGTCACCTATACTTACCGCTTACTGCCTTTCAACCGTTTTCTAGGTTGAGGCAAAGGACCCAGCTAGTGGCTCTTCATATTTTTATAATGAGAAAACTGGTCAAACTCAATGGGAGTATCCTGGTGAGACTGCTTGTTCACAACAGAATACACCTTCATCTAGTTTGCCAGAAGATTGGGAAGAGGCGGTGGATGATTCTACAGGTATGCAGAATGTAGTAAACGCCTGATTCTTTCAGATTCTGAAAGTTAAAAAATAAGAAATTATTGTAAGTTTTT